AAAGGAAGTTCCCCAGTTAGTCGACTCTTACGACATGCTTTTGGGGAGGCAGTGGGTCTATTCTTGTTTTCCCCACAATAGGGCCCCGGAACCCACACGGGGGAGGGAAAACGCGAGAATGCAGAAGTAGACAAGATTTTATCGACTTGTACCTTTTACAAAGTTTTATCTGAGTGTCAGGTATGTGTTACTATTTTTGCTAACATTACCAGCAACAACATGTACTGTGGAGCGATCGTTCAGGACATTACGTCGTCGTGTAAAACATGGCTTAGATCTGCAATGTGAGATAAACGTCTGTATGGATTGTTTATGTTAAGCAATTCCAGGCCGGCAACGAAACAAGTAATGATTTGACCGTTGCTGGCGCTACGTCGTTCGTGGTTTGTGCGATTTATGAAAGTACTTACAACGAGCTTTGGTGATATCCCCGGGAACTGCCAATATTTTTTTGTTCATACTTTACTTTTAGTATATTGAAATGTTTATTCAAAGTGAAAGCCACATAGGAAGGTGAGCAATTATTTTTTTTAAATCACATGAAAAAGAAACACAAAGTTAGCACAGTGAGGTTACGGTTGAAACAAAGTAAGTGTGATTTGCGCACCCTTTTAATTAATCAGTACCGGGGCTGCCAGATATTTGAGCTTTGACCCCAGTGAGAGTTCAAAGTTTGAGTAACTGAAAGAAAAAACAATAATAACTGGAAAAAAAAATATTCAACTCAAATCAAAAGCATCTAGAAAAACATCTACCATAAGAAAAAAAAATTTTTGACTCCAAATGAAAAGCATCTAGAAAAGCATCTACCATTTAAACGTCAAAAAGACATCTAAATAAAAGGAAAAACATATGAAAAGCATCTAGAAAAGCATCTACAATTTAAACGTCAAAAAGACATCTAAATGGAAGGAAAAACATATGAAAAGCATCTAGAAATGCATCTACCATTTAAACGTCAAAAAGACATATAAATGGAAGGAAAAACATATGAAAAGAATCTAGAAAAGCATCTACCATTTAAACGTCAAAAAGACATCTAAATGGAAGGAAAAACATATGAAAAGCATCTAGAAAAGCATCTACAATTTAAACGTCAAAAAGACATCTAAATGGAAGGAAAAACATATGAAAAGCATCTAGAAATGCATCTACCATTTAAACGTCAAAAAGACATATAAATGGAAGGAAAAACATATGAAAAGAATCTAGAAAAGCATCTACCATTTAAACGTCAAAAAGACATTTAAATGGAAGGAAAAACATCTAAATGTGGATGTAAAATATCCGAAGTGGCAACACTGAACGTCATAGTAAAGGCGCGCTTTGCAAGAGCGCGCTTTTGCGATGTGAACAACTTGGATGTAGAGAAACCGCGAGAAACCACAACCTGAACACCCTAGAATTTATTGGGAATGTCTCCTGTGACGTCATTGTGACGTCAGGGGTACGCAAAAAATATAGTACCGAATATTCTTCTCTAAGTTATCGCCTGACTGTTGAAGTTTCTTTTTTTTTTTTTTAATTTAAAATTAAAAAAAAAAAAATTACTTTAATTTCCTGTTTGCATCAAAAGGTTTTCACAGCCATATCAGCAATTAAAAATCAAACAGAAATCAAATTGATGTTACTGCACTGCTTTGTCTTTTAGAAACAACTGTCTAGCCACGTATATCAGGTTTTCAAACCTCCAAGCAACAGCAGATGTCGCATTAGCTGACAATTGTAATTTTTGTGACTTCGATTTAACAAATAAACTGCTAGCTAAGTTTGTTTTGGTTTCCATGTAAGTGATTAAATGTCAGCTGGGCTGCAAAATAATGTTTCCCCATTTTGGTGTGCTGCGGATGTAAGAAGGTTTGCAAAACACTGGGTTACATACAGGTGTTTAGCGAAGGCAATAACCATCATGTGCGTCATTTACAAGGAGGTAATATAAAGCACACCTGCTGCCACAGGAGCCTGCAGTGTGTTTTATCTTTTTGTATACTAGCTCAAATGGACTGCATTAGTATTAGATGGGTGAAGGTTTTTTTTTTTTCATTGCTTTAGGTCAGCGGTTCTCAACCTGTGGGTTGCGAGCCCTTTGGTTGTTCAACGACCATTTCACAGGGGGGTCGCCTAGGCACATGGGAAATCACATGTTCACTGAAGTTCTGAAGTAGCAACAAAAATACCCTTATGGCTAGGGGTCACCACAACGTGAGACAATGTATAAAAGGGTTTCAACCTTATGAACTTTATTTGTTTCCGGGATATAGTGATAGTCTTGTATTTTTATAGATTAGTTGACTTCTAAAGTGCGGAGTTTTGTAGACCAGTTGCCGTTTGAAGTGTGGTGTTGTGGTGATGTTAGAATGTAGCAATAACAGATGTGTTGATGATAGATGTCAGAATGTGGTGATTATGGATGTGGAAAAGATATAAAACTGAACAAAAAGTTTTCATTGGGTTTCACAATATAACAAATACAAACAAAACCTGAACGTTGTAGCTATGGAGACTTCTTTGGCACATACATAAATTGGACAGTACTACACAAATACACAATATCGCAAGATTATGGGTGTTGAGATGTTAGGATGTGGCAGTAACAGATGTGGGGCTGGGGGATGTTAGGATGTGGAAATAACAGATGTGGGGCTGGGAGATGTTAGGATGTGGAAATAACAGATGTGGGGCTGGGAGATGTTAGGATGTGGAAATAACAGATGTGGGGCTGGGAGATGTTAGGATGTGGAAATAACAGATGTGGGGCTGGGGGATGTTAGGATGTGGAAATAACAGATGTGGGGCTGGGGGATGTTAGGATGTGGAAATAACAGATGTGGGGCTGGGGGGATGTTAGGATGTGGAAATAACAGATGTGGGGCTGGGAGATGTTAGGATGTGGCAGTAATAAATGTGGGGCTGGGGGGATGTTAGGATGTGGAAATAACAGATGTGGGGCTGGGAGATGTTAGGATGTGGCAGTAATAAATGTGGGGCTGGGGGGATGTTAGGATGTGGAAATAACAGATGTGGGGCTGGGGGATGTTAGGATGTGGAAATAACAGATGTGGGGCTGGTGGATGTTAGGATGTGGCAAAAAGAGATGTGGGAAAGGGAGAGACATGGTATAGTAATAAGCAAACAGTTACACAGCCAACCAGAATTCAGCTAATGAACCAAATAACCAGCTGTTTAACCATCCTACAAATGCTGTAAACTAACTGTTCAACCATCCAACAAATGCTGTAAACTAACTGTTCAACCATCCAACAAATGCTGTAACCAGCTGTGTAACCATTCAACAAATGCTGTAACCAGCTGTTTAACCATGCAACTGGTGCTGTAACCAGCTGTTTAACCCAAAAAAAAAGCTGTAAAACAGTTGTGTAACCATCCAACAAATGCTGTAACCAGCTGTGTAACCATTCAACAAATGCTGTAACCAGCTGTTTAACCATGCAACTGGTGCTGTAACCAGCTGTTTAACCAAAAAAAGCTGTAAAACAGCTGTGTAACCATCCAACAAATGATATAACCAGCTGTTTAACTATCCAACAAATTTTGTAACCAGATGATTAAAAAAAAAAAAAATCCAAAGCACTAGTAACAAGAGCTTGAAGATAAACATCCACATAAATCAAAGTGACAATTAACAAAAGAAACATTCACCAGCAACAGATTATTTAGTTTCCAATAGATGGAATATCTGAAGCTGTAACCACAAGCATCTGTGTAGCACACACCGCGGCTTGCACCCAGTGCTTCTTCAGAATCTTACACCTGAGCTAAACAGGACTAGAGAGGAACAACAGGTTTTGCAATTTGTTGGATGGTAAAACAGCTGGTTTACAGCATTTGTTGGATGGTAAAACAGCTGGTTTACAGCATTTGTTGGATGGTAAAACAGCTGGTTTACAGCATTTGTTGGATGGTTAAACAGCTGGTTACAGCATTTGTTGGATGGTAAAACAGCTGGTTTGCAGCATTTGTTGGATGGTTAAACAGTTGTTTTACACCATTTGTTGGATGGTTAAACAGCTGGTTTGCAGCATTTGTTGGATGGTTAAACAGCTGGTTTACAGCATTTGTTGGATGGTAAAACAGCTGGTTTGCAGCATTTGTTGGATGGTTAAACAGCTGGTTTGCAGCATTTTTTGGATGGTTAAACAGCTGGTTTGCAGGATTTTGTTGGATGGTTAAACAGCTGGTTTACAGCATTTGTTGGATGGTAAAACAGCTGGTTTGCAACATTTGTTGGATGGTTAAACAGCTGGTTTGCAGCATTTGTTGGATGGTAAAACAGTTGGTTTGCAGCATTTGTTGGATGGTTAAACAGCTGGTTTGCAGCATTTGTTGGATGATTAAACAGCTGGTTACAGTATTTGTTGGATGGTTAAGCAGCTGGTTATTTGGTTCATTAGCTGAATTCTGGTTGGCTGTGTAACAGTTTGCTTATTACTGTATCATGTCTCCTCCTTCCCCACATCTCTTATTACCACATCGTAACATCCCCCAGCGAAACATCTGTTACAACCACATCCTAACATCCCCCAGCCCCACATCTGTTGATACTGGTATGAACTGATTCTGATTTTCACAAATTACTTCACTATTTGAGTCCCAGGGGGTTTAGCATCACAGGCCCAATGGGTAGTCAAGAGAGGCGTAAAATCGGCGCATCTTGTGTTCATTGGTCTTGTAGGTAGGAATCTATGAACGTGTGATGCGTTCCTTGGGACTCAAAGAGTTAGTGCTTTAAAAATGTGATTAACCGATGATCATCTATGGCAGGGCTATTCAACTAAGTTTATTCACATACCAAAATGTTCAAAAATGGGGATCGTCATGGGCCAAAGGCCAGAGCGCCAGCATAGAATGATCATAAATAATACAGTACAACTAGCAATGATCCGCGGGCCACTTTCTAGGCCTCTGCAGGCCTCCAGTTGAATAGCCCTAATCTGTGGTGTTTGTATCAAGCCTAATGCTGACATTGCCTTGTAACACAGAGAAAAAGAAAGATTGATGATCTAGAAGTCAAGATGACAGAACTGATTAACAAGAAGCAGCAATTGGCAGAGACACTGAAACAAGCCAAAGTTGGCAAGGAAGACTCAGTAAGTAAAATAACATAACCCTTGACCTGTTAGGGTCTTGGAGGTGTATCGATGGATGCACTAGCACACAAAACCTGCCATCTTTCTTTGTCTTCTGCTTGATAAATAGGTGTATAATAACTTAGTCCTGTTCATTTTTGATGTCATTCCAGGTTCTTCTTTGTCCTCCTCTTCTTTGACTACCCTCTGGTGTTCCTTGAAGCACAGTCTTTGCAATCGAATCATGTCTCTCCATGTGTCCCAACTAGCTTGTGACATTTCACCACTGCCAAGAGAGGCTCCTCGTGTTCTAGACATTTGTATATCTTGTCTCTGACATATTTATTAGTTTTGTGTAGCATTTACATTCGAAAGCCTGAATCAGTAAGTATGGCCACATAGTTAACATCAAGAAAAGCCTGTCACTTTATAAGTTGAATTTTGAATTAAGAATTGACATTACAGCACTCGGACACCTCCATCAGCGATCCGTCTCCATTTTCAGCAGCAGGCAAAGAGTTAAAATTCCTATGGTAACAGTAACTGTCTGCTTGTATATCCATCTCGCCTTTCTCCTGAGTGTCGAGCGTTGGCCAGATTCCTGTGTAACTCCTCATAAAGCCATTCTCCTCAGACTGTTAATGATCCATCTGTGCCTTGGCACTGTTCACTTGCTCCCAAAGGGCCCTCACAACATCTAGCTTGTCATACATCAGTTCACCACCAAGTGGTGCAGATAAGTTCTACTATTACCCGTATTTGCAAAAACCCCACCTGTGAGATGAGATGGCCGAAAAACGCCAACATCCATACTATCCGAGAACGAGTATATAATGATACTGGTGTATAATGATACTGGTATATAATAATACTGGTATATAATGTGTATATTGATAATGTCAGATTGGGCGGACAACACCTTGACTAGACTCATCTAGAAATAGCAGATCAGGTGATTTGGCCGTCAGTAAGAATGCAGCAACATCAAATACCATTAGAGGCATGACATCTTAGAAGATCAGATACAATAGCAAGAGGACAACCAAAGAATTATGGGTCAGCAGCATTAAAAACACTTTAGGCCTTCAAATTGCCAGTCAACGTTCACTAGATCGCAAATGATTCCTCCCCACATTGCTTAAAGGCAGAAGTGGTTTGTGATGATAATTGGGAATTTTAAAGTAAAAAGGTAAAGGACCTTTTTCTACACCTTCGGGCGTGTTGGACATATAGGGCTAGACCTATAATTTTATAGACCGATCAGCACTTGGTGGGTGATGTAGTGAGCATCACGCCGGGCATCTTTACTTCCCAGGACTGCACCTGGTATCCACTCAAGGCTGTGTCGACTTGGGAGTCAAGGTCATTTTTGGGAAAAGTCCTCCGTCAGGACCAGAACCCATGATCTTGGGATCCACAGGCAGGGTCTAGCCGCCATGGTCACAGTGGCTCCCATTGTCATAGGTTAACCTCTATTAAAACTCCCCGTGTGCATTCAGGGGTTCTGTTTTGATTGGGGGGGGGGGGGGTCAACCCATGGCCCTCTAGCAAGCATGTACTGATTGGTGACTGATTGGGAGCTTTCTAAAATCATGTGCTAAAAGAAAGACGCAGATATTGCAGCCTAGCTGTAAACTGCAACACAACTTTGCAACTGTACTTTTAAGACTGAGTTGAGTTGAGTCAAGAATTGACATCACAGCACTCTTGGCATTTCCATAAGTGCTCTGTCCCTCATCTTCAGCAGCAAGCACAGAATTCCAATACCAGTGGCTCTAGTAGCAGTCTGATTGTATTTCTGTCTTGCCTTTGACCTGAGGGTCAAATGTCGGCCAGATCCCCTCGTCACTGCTAGCTGCATCACTCTCACCAGACTGTGGTGATCAGTTTGCTTATCCAGACTGTGGTGATCACTTTGCTTATCCAGACTGTGGTGATCAGTTTGCTTATCCAGACTGTGGTGATCAGTTTGCTTATCCAGACTGTGGTGATCAGTTTGCTTATCCAAACTGTGCATGTACTGCCATAAGGCCTTACCACAAGAAGAAGAGTAAGGGAGATACAAAGTAAAAGAAAGCCACTATTTGCTGCAAGAATATCCTAACCTTTTCTCATAGTTCAATATGGTGGATAGGCAGGCTATCCAGTGAAGCCTTAAAGAGTTGTTTACTTCTGGCCACAATTTGCTGAAACAGTTTCTCCATTTTTGGACTTTGAAATTGAAAGGTTTTGTTGCCCAGCTGCTAGGCTCAAAGTTTGGTAAACCACTGTGATCTGTGAATTTCATATACAATGTTTTTTTGTTTGTTTTCTGTGCTTATGACAGTTTTGTGTTGTAGACTGCACCAAAAGTGACCAGCTGCATTTACACTGGAGTTTGCTTTATGCTTCTTCATGCAGTATTGTGTCTGCAAATGAAGGCTTGTTTTGACTGACTGCTTCCATCAACAAGTGAGCTGCTGTTCTTGTGAAAGACTGTTTCTGTTGGCATATCTTGTGCCAGCCTTAGGCATTTATCTCGCATATGCAAGCTTTTCATTTTTAGCAGGATTATCAGGACTGATCAGTTTTTTTCACTATTTAAAAAAAAAAGGGACAATGAAGTCATTATGTTATTTTTTCCCTGGTAGAGAAACTAATCAGTTGTTTTATCACTATTTTTAAAAAACAAAAACAAAAAGATACAATGAAGGTCATTTTGTGTGATTTCCTCTGGTACAGAAATTGAGATATTTTTTTTTTTTCACTATTAAAAAAAAAAAAGAAAAAGGGGGACAATGAAAGTCATTTTATGTGATTTCCCCTGGCATAGGAACTGAGCAATTATTTGGTGACCCATTTGCCATGAAGTTGGAAACTCAGCTAAGTAAATATTTTAAAGAGTTCTCGACTGTGATCTGTAATCCCTGTTGTATAGGAAGAAAGACAAGACGTGATAGAGGAATTGAACAAGCGTCGCACGGAGAGGGAACACATTCAGAAAGAGTTGGAGAAGTATAAGGAGTGTGATCCTGAGGTGTTGAAGAAGATTGGGGATGAGGCAAACGAAGCCAAGGAAGCTGCAAACAGGTGGACAGGCAAGTGTTTGTTGCTGAATAAGTAATTTTACAAGTAGTTTTTATGTTCAGATAGTTTATTAGTTAACCCTTTTATCCTGAATAAATAACTTTACAAGTAGTTTTTATGTTCAAGTAGTTTATTAGTTAACATGTTTTCCTGAATAAAAAACTTTACAAGTAGTTTTTGTGTTCAAGTGGTTTATTAGTTAACCTTTTTCCTGAAAAAAAAAACTTTACAAGTAGTTTTTATGTTCAAGTGGTTTATTAGTTAACGTTTTTTCCTAAAAAAATAACTTTATAACTGGTTCCTCCAAATTTCTGGTGTGGGAAAAGGAAAGAGGTGGGGGTGGGGGGGGGGGGGGGGGTGTCACAGCCTAATCTTCTTACAAATTTGGGGTGTTTATACACCCAGCATCTGAACATCTGTGGCTTAGGCATTGCAAACACGCTTTGTAATGCTGGGGTGCCGGGTCCAATCCCAACTGTCGACGATTTGTATTTTTTTTTTGACGTGGTACTGAGAGTTGACCTTCAGCAAGCAGCGGAAAACTACTGAATGTCTGGTAGTCTGGTAGCCTTAGTTTCAGCTTCATAGCAAACGGGTCGCCCCATCTTTGCTCCGCTCCTGTGCCAGCGAAAAACACACACAGAATGTTTATCACAGTCCCTTGTGGAAAGATGACAGTGCTGTCTCAGCAAATCTAGCATACACTCGCATTAACGCATATGGTAGCCATCACGAAGTGCTAACACAAACAGTCCAACACTCAGAAATGCAGTCATCATTGATGATAGCAGAACTTGTCCGCAACAGATCAGCAGTTGCCCCGCGCGATCAATTTTAATACGGGTCTCGCCAGCATTGCACGACCGGCATCGCGCCATTTTCTGAATCTACAATTCACACCACGTTGGTCACAGTCGAAAAAACATTCCAAATGCAATCCGCAGCTCACAGGGTCACGCCATGCATTCAACTCAGAAGCTGGGCGACGAAACTACTGAATGTAACATTTGCCTAGAAAAACCACAACAGCTAAAAAATGCCGGGATTGGTTCTGCAACGTTCTGTAGAGGATACACAAATACCTTCTTCTAGTACAACCAGGAACGGGTACACCTGCTGTTTGTTACAATTTATACAAATGCTAGACTGACTGTCATATATCTTTCCTGTAAAAAAAAAACAGTTAGTCGCCCCAGTTACACACTAGCTCACTTCCGATTGGTCGACATTCAGCCTAGCTCACTTCTGATTGGTCAACCTTGAGCCATGTTACCTAGCCACAAGATTACGGAGATTTTCCCGAAATGCCGCTGATATCTCATATTGTATATTTCAGCACGCCAGCGCGTTTAACACTCCAAGAACATTGACAAACTAGGTCTAACACAACACTCTTTTAGAGAGTGATGAAACCTTTGTCACAGGCATTCTCTTTCTAGGAAAAAAAATGTAAATGCAAGACAACCCAGTAAGTGGCACACCCGTAACCTGCAGGAAGGTAGACCAGTCCAACAAAGTTATGAATGGAACGTGACCTGCATTGTTTGGGGAGACTAACATTTGTTTAAACATCTTTCCTCTTTCCTCAGATAACATATTCTACCAAGGCTTGGATTAAGAACAAATTCTCCTTTGAGGAGAGCGTCATTGATAAACAGTTCGGCATCCCTGCAGATTTTGACTATGTGGAATAGTCGACTGTCATACCTCAAGTTCATCATCGCTAAACTGTGTTGGAGTTTTGTATTCTGTGTTGAGTTGGGTTCTTCTTCTTTATCTTCTCCATGTTCTGCTAAAGCCCTTACTGCCTGTTTCTACTTCTGCTGCAGTGTAAGCAGGGAAGAAAGAGACGGAGGGAAGGGGGGGGGGGGGGGGGATTTTTGAGCCTGAGGATTAAGGGCCGAATGCCTAGTGCTGTTGCCATGTACTGTGCAGGTTAGGATTGTATTTTCCCCCCAACCTTAGGATTCAAACCCAACTGAAGAATGGGTGAAATGTCTGTATTACAACCACACGTATTTCAGAACCGCTGCATCCCAAGTTAGGTTGGTAACTGACATCACAGCACTCAGGACATTCCCATAAGTGATCCATTCATATCTTTAGCAGCCATCGCAGAGTTCCTTTTCTGATGTTAGCAGTAGCAGTGTGATAGTATCTTCATCTTGCCCTTTCTCAGAGTGATGGGCCATTTTTTTCAGACCCTGATGATTTTATATTTGTGTATTTGTAATATAATTCTGATATTGTTTGATTTGATGTGTAATTTATGGATTTTATTAAATGTTTAGATTTGATGCCATAATATGATATTGATTCCTTTCTATTCCGTATTTGACTGTTAGTTTGTTAATCAAAGTTTCAGCATCACTGCTAATGGGTCACCCCATGTTGTTTATTGTTCTTTGGAATCTTGTCTACTTTTTCCCCCATGTCAAAGGTCACGGGACAGTCTAATATTTCAGGTAACATGGGGTTTTCCAAAAATAGACAATAGGATTTTCATCTCTGACTGGGAAGGGGCAAAGCACTATTGTTAGTGTTGCCACTTTAGATGTTGACATCCAGATCTAGATGTATTGTATTTTTTTTTTTTTACGTAATTCTAAATGTTTTTCATTTAGAGTTAGACATTTTATCGATTTTTGTCTTTCAGTGTCAAATTTTGGTCTAGGCATGTATATTGTGGTGACTGCGATTAAACCACTTCTGCCGTTAAGCGGCGTGGGGGACGAATAATTTGCAATCCAGTGCATTTGTGTTTTGTCATCATCATCATCATAAACCACTTCTGCCGTTAAGCACCGTGGGGAAGAATAATTTGCGATCCAGTGCATGTGTGTTTTGTCATCATTATCATCATCATCAACTACTTCTGCCGTTAAGCGATATGGGGAGGAATAATTTGCGATCAAGTGCATTTGTGCTTTGTCATCATCATCATCATCATCAACTACTTCTGCCGTTAAGCGTCGTTTGGAGGAATAATTTGCGATCTAGTGCATTTGTGCTTTGTCATCATCATCATCATCATCAACTACTTCTGCCGTTAAGCGTCGTTTGGAGGAATAATTTGCGATCTAGTGCATTTGTGCTTTGTCATCATCATCAACTACTTCTGCCGTTAAGCGACGTTTGGAGGAATAATTTGCTATCCAGTGCATTTGTGCTTTCTTATCATCATCATCAGCTACTTTTGCCGTTAAGCGTCGTTTGGAGGAATAATTTGCCATCCAGTGCATTTGTGCATTGTTATCATCATCATCATCATCAACTGCTTCTGCCGTTAAGCGTCGTTTGGAGGAATAATTTGCTATCCAGTGCATTTGTGCTTTGTTATCATCATCATCATCAACTACTTCTGCCGTTGAGCGTCGTTTGGAGGAATAATTTGCTATCCAGTGCATTTGTGCTTTGTTATCATCATCATCATCATCAACTACTTCTGCCGTTAAGCGTCGTTTGGAGGAATAATTTGCTATCCAGTGCATTTGTGCTTTGTTATCATCATCATCAGCTACTTTTGCTGTTAAGCGTCGTTTGGAGGAATAATTTGCTATCCAGTGCATTTGTGCTTTGTTATCATCATCATCATCATCAGCTACTTCTGCCGTTAAGCGTCGTTTGGAGGAATAAATTGCGATCTAGTGCATTTGTGCTTTGACATCATCATCATCATTATTAGCTACTTCTGCCCGTTAAGCGTCATTTGGAGGAATAATTTGCGATCCAGTGCTTTTGTGCTTTGTCATCATCATCATCCAGTGACCATAAATAACCAAACTTGAAAATGTACAACATTTCACATATCTTGGCAGTGTGGTGTCCCTGCCTTTCTGTCCATCCTTTTCTTAATCAGTCTGGCTGTTCCGTTTGCTTCACATGTAGCCGCGCCCTTGTGTAGAGTTGCAGCCAGGCATTTCAGTCTCGAGAGGCAGCCTTCCAGTTGGTGTCATTTATCCCAAATGCTTTGAGTGACGACTTGAAGGTGTCGTTAAAGCGTTTAGTTTGCCCGCCTTGGGAACGTTTTCCATTTTGCAGCTCACCATAGAGGACTTGGGGGGGGGGGGGGAGCCTGTGATCTGGCATGCGTGCAACATGACTAGCCTAACGAATTTGATACTGCATCAGTGGAGTGCGGATGATGGGCATGGCTGCTTTCTCAAGGACAATGGTATCAGGTACATTCTCTTACCATCTGATCTGCATTAGTTTCCTAAAGCAGACTGTGTGAAAGTCGTTTAGCTTTCTAGCCTGGCGCTGGTATACAGTCCGTTTTTCGCATGCGTACAGCAGTGTAGTTAATACAACTGATCTGTATACTTTAGGCTTTGTCTGCAGGGTTATGCCACTTCTGTTTCAAATATTTTTGTACAATTGTGTGCATTTAAGAAATTACACAAAATACAAAATACAGGGTTATTCAAAATGATGAACACACATTCATTCATGTATATTTCTATGAGAATACACATTCATTCATGTATATTTCTATGAGAAAACACATTCATTCATGTATATTTCTGTGATGATATATATTCATTTACATATATTTCTATGAGAATACACATTTATTCGTGTATATTTCTAAGAGAATACACATTCATTCATTTATATTTCAATGAGAATACACATTCATTCATGTATATTTCTGTGAGAATACACATTCATTCATGTATATTTCTATGAGAATACACATTCATTCATGTATATTTCTGTGAGGATACACATTCATTCATGTATATTTCTGTGAGAATACACATTCATTCATGTATATTTATGTGAGAATACACATTCATTCATGTATATTTCTGTGAGAATACACATTCATTCATGTATATTTATGTGAGAATACACATTAATTCATGTATATTTCTGTGAAAATACACATTCATTCATGTATATATTCTGTGAGAATACACATTCATTCATGTATATTTATGTGAGGATATACATTCATTCATGTATATTTCTGTGAGAATACACATTCATTCATGTATATTTCTATGAGAATACACATTCATTCATGTATATTTCTGTGAGAATACACATTCATTCATGTATATTTCTGTGAGAATACACATTCATTCATGCATATTTCTGTGAGAATACACATTCATTCATGTATATTTCTGTGAGAATACACATTCATTCATTTGTTCGGGGTGAAAGAATACACATTCATTCTGTATATTTCTGTGAGAATAACACATTCATTCATGTATATTTCTGTGAGAATACACATTCATTCATGTATATTTCTGTGAGAATACACATTCATTCATGTATATTTCTATGAGAATACACATTCATTTATGTTTATTTCTGTGAGAATACACATTCATTCATGTATATTTCTGTGAGAATACACATTCATTCATGTATATTTCTGTGAGAATACACATTCATTCATGTATATTTCTGTGAGAATACACATTCATTCATGTATATTTCTGTGAAAATACACAATCATTCATGTATATTTCTGTGAGAATACACATTCATTCATGTATATTTATGTGAGAATCATGTATATTTATGTGAGAATACACAATCATTCATGTATATTTCTGTGAGAATACACATTCATTTATGTATATTTCTATGAGAATACACATTCATTCATGTATATTTCTGTGAGAATACACATTCATTCATGTATATTTCTGTGAGAATACACAGTCATTCATGTATATTTCTGTGAAAATACACATTCATTCATGTATATTTCTGTGAGAATACACATTCATTCATGTATATTTCTATAGGAATACATTGAGTGAAAAAACTATATATTTTCTGCTTGCCCTCTCATGTTCAAATCTTATTGCCATATAATTAACAACACGAGTTGAAATCGCCACTTACACACTTTATTTAATTCTTCTTATAATTTCTGCAAGGAGTCAGGCCACAAAGGTTATGACAGTTCCACGATAAACATTCCATTTCAGAAGCTGAACTCCTGAAATTATCCGAATGTTCTCGGCGTGTGGGCGCACTTGCCATCTCTACACACCAAACCGCCACAGCACCTTAACAAGACCCGGAATGGTGCATTTTTGTCCTTTTTCCCCCGCAGTATATTTTTTTCGGTACCTGTGAAACAGGTACAAGTCATCAGTGAAGACAGGTGAAATCTTTGGTTCTTGGTATTTTCATGCTTTTCGTTGTCGTTCTCACGCTTCATTTTCTGCCTACTCCTTCTATTTTAATTCTTCTCCTTCTCCTATTTCTTCATCATCTTCTTCTTCTCCTCCTTTTTCTCCTTCTTCTTGTTCTTCTTGTTCTTCTTGTTCTTCTTCTTTTTCTTCTTCTTCTTCTTCTTCTTCTTCTTCTTCTTCTTCTTTTCTTCTTCTTCTTCCTTCTTTCTTCTTCTTCTTCTTCTTTCTTCTTCTTCTTCTCTTCCTCTTCTTCTTCTTTCTTCTTCTTCTTCTTCTTCTTCTCTTCTTCTTCTCTCTTCTACTTCTTCTTCTTCTTTCTTCTTCTTCTTCTTCTTCTTCTTCTTTCTCTTCTTCTTCTTCTTCTTCTTTCTTCTTCTTCTTCTTCTTCTCTTACTTCTTTCTTCTTCTTCCTTCTTCTTCTTCTTCTTCCTTCTTCTCTTCTTCTCATTCTTCTTTCTTCTTCTCTCTTCTTCTCCTTCCTTCCTTCTTCTTCTTCTTCTTCTTCTCTCCTTCTCTTCTTCTTCTTCTTC